GATTTGTAAAACGTTGAAGACGGCTGTTCTAAGGGGAGAGGTGTTATATAGGTATATGATCAATGAATGTAATATACGTGAGCTAAGACACCCAAACTTGTTTAAGTTTGTAAGACAATACTATCTGACATTTTCTTTCAAACGAAACTTAAGCTGATAATTGCAAATTCGAAAAAAGAAAAACAAGAACAAACCAGTTGTAGAATTGTATTCAAATCATTGTTAAAAACATATCTCTCTCTTTTATCTTTTTGTGTATTATTACTCCTACCGATGCTAACTTGAACTAGATGCCCATCGAGACTTCTTAAATTAAATTAAATTAAATGTATTTATTTGCACGAAATATGGCATATGAATGAAGATAATTAGACCATATATTCCTTTTCAACTGAACGTCAATATTTCAATTATTTCTTTGCATAATGAGTTTGTAAGACAATACTATCTGACATTTTCTTTCAAACGAAACTTAAGCTGATAATTGCAAATTCGAAAAAAGAAAAACAAGAACAAACCAATTGTAGAATTGTATTCAAATAATTGTTAAAAACATATCTCTCTCTTTTATCTTTTTGTGTATTATTACTCCTACCGATGCTAACTTGAACTAGATGCCCATCGAGACTTCTTACATATGAATGAAGATAATTAGACCATATATTCCTTTTCAACTGAACGTCAATGTTTCTATTTGGTATTGCTTGGTGAGTTTTTAAGTCCATACTTTTAGTTTTCTGACATTTCTTTCCAACGAAACGTGTGCTAATAATTGCAAATACGAAAAAAGAAAAACAAGAACCAACCAGTTCTATAATTGTATTCAAATAATAGTTAAAAACATATCTCTCTCTTTTATCTTTTTGTGTATTATTACTCCTACCGATGCTAACTTGAACTAGATGCCCATCGAGACTTCTTACATATGAATGAAGATAATTAGACCATATATTCCTTTTCAACTGAACGTCAATGTTTCTATTTGGTATTGCTTGGTGAGTTTTTAAGCCCATACTTTTAGTTTTCTGACATTTCTTTCCAACGAAACGTGTGCTAATAATTGCAAATACGAAAAAAGAAAAACAAGAACAAACCAATTGTAGAATTGTATTCAAATAATTGTTAAAAACATATCTCTCTCTTTTATCTTTTTATGTATTATTACTCCTACCGATACTAACTTGAACTAGATGCCCATCGAGACTTCTTACATATGAATGAAGATAATTAGACCATATATTCCTTTTCAACTGAACGTCAATATTTCAATTATTTCTTTGCATAATGAGTTTGTAAGACAATACTATCTGACATTTTCTTTCAAACGAAACTTAAGCTGATAATTGCAAATTCGAAAAAAGAAAAACAAGAACAAACCAGTTGTAGAATTGTATTGAAATCATTGTTAAAAACATATCTCTCTCTTTTATCTTTTTCTGTATTTTTACTCCTACCGACGCTGACTTGAAACAGATGCCCATCCAGTCCATACAAATGATGAAAAAAATTAAACCAATAATTTAAATTAATATTATGTTAAAATAAAATGTTAAAAAAATCTTACAAACCAAATGTGTCCTTCTTCATGGTAAAATAACACCAATTGATATTTTATTAATATAATTGGTAACACAAATTTCAAAGTTACACAAAAATCAAGAACTATCAACTTAGGAAAACCTTGAATTTGATAATTAATATAGAACGAAATTAAAATCAAAAACAATCTACTATAGAAAACACTAAAAAATCCTTGAATAATAACCTCACTTTGAAATAAAGAAATATCTCGTCACTATTTTTATACTGGACATAAAGACGACTTACTCCTACAGAGCACTGAAGTGAACTGGCCAAGGAATCCAACAACATGACCGGACCGATGAATAGAGCGGGACAATAAATATCCTTTACAACAAAGAAATCATTTACTAATAATTCCTTATCCTTTGTTTGCAATATTCTATTGTACATTGAATATGGTCATAACCATAAAACCAAATAAACCTTGTTAAAGACAAATTTAAAAGAAACAATAGCATGGTATTTGTTTAGGCTGCATATGATTGTTCTGTTGCCTTATAGTTATAAATAGAAAATATATACTCTAGAATCAAATATGGTGGAAAATACAAGGAAGTTTATAGTTAAACAAAGTAGTTAGTTAGTTAAATAAAGTTCGAGTTTTATTCTCATCAATCTCGAACTTATTCAACATTTTTAAAGCATTTTGAAAATTTATTTAATAACAACGTGTTATTTTATTATGTTACTGTATCTTACCTATACAGTATTTGTAACACATTTTGTGTATATTTTAAGACCTAATCTTGCTAATATTTTCTACAGTGAATTTTTAATGACAACAATAATTTCAATATTGAAGATTTTGTTATACAATTAAATCTAAGTTTGGAAGAATTCCAGATTTATTTATCTAGCGAGTATATATACTAATAAATAAAATAATTGTATATGCCTACCATATTCTATATTTAAAAACAGAATGAAATTACCAACAACAAATTTAGGGCTCGACAATAAATAAAAAAAAACAATAGTTTCATTTGAAGACTTAAGTTTAAATTAATATATTGTTAAAATAAAATGTTTAAACAGAACTTACAAACGAAATGTCTGCCTCATGATAAAATATCACCAATTGTAATTTTATTTCTAGAATATGTATTTTAAAAAAATCTAAGTATATATGCCAGTTGTCTAGTACCCATAACACAAGCTCAGCTTCGCTTTGGACTAGATGGCGCTGTGTATTGTCCTGAGATAATATTGTTAATCTACTGAATGGATTTTAATGAAATTTTACATAATATCTTATACATCAGAATAACTGTTAATTTCACGCGCGTGAAACCGCGGGTACATCTAGTGTTATATATTATCAATATAAAAAACTAGCTGTACGCGCGACTTTCTCCGCGTGGAAATTTGCAACATTACTGTATTTTTCTAAAATAAAAGTTGATGTAATAAGGAGTAACTTAGGCTAAGTTACTCCTTATTACATCAGCTATCTGCCAATAAAAATCCCGCCAAAATCTGCCCACACATTTCAGAGATTAGCCGGAACAAACAGACAGACAGACAAAAACGGTTATTTCAAAATTACAAACAGATACTCCAATTTTATTTATATGTATAGATAACTACATTTATATTTATTTAAATTTTTAGCCTGTTAATCTACTTTAGAATAGAATAGAAAATTATTTTTTCAAATAAACTTGCATTGAAGCACTTTTGAGTAGTTATTACTTATTTTTTAAATCTACCGCTTATGCGGATATTTTTCTCATCACAAGAACGAGCAAGAAACTTGCGTGTAGCTCTTTTAAATAAATAAACTTAAACATAACTGGTACGAAGTCCTCAAATAAAATTTATTTTAGATTAATATTAATATTACTTTATTTCTAGTTTTACATTAAAATAGCCTACATTAATCTAAAATGTACTAATACTATAATGTTATACAGCAAAAACTGCTGGTAATGAGTGTTTACCAAAAATCTAGAACAAATACTCCATTGTTAGACTATTTTTTATCTATGCTTATATGAAAGCCCAATTTACACTCAGCCCGAGTGGGCAGGGAAATGAGCATGGAAGGTAACAGCGCGAGAGTGTAAACACGATACTTACCATGCCATTGGCTCTGCCACTCTGCACGGGGCTCCCTTGATTGTCGGTTTTTCGTGCGCGAGTCAAAGGACTGGCAGCGCGAGTGGCAGCGTGTGTTTACATTCAGCACTCTCGCTCAGTTGTCGCTCGACATTTTATGCGGAAGGTAAGGAAGAGTCGCCCGGTAATTAAGTATGAGGGCTCAGTGTAAACGACACTCACTCGCGTCGACTCCCGTCGACTGACGCGGCAATATTTCCGGCAGCGCGAGTGGCAGGGGAAGCGACTGAATGTAAACGTAACATTACACTACACAGTGGACCCGCGGTAATCCGGCCCCTCTTGTAATCCGACATGGTCTATTTTTTTTTTTGACAATCTTCACTACTGCTTGATTGGACAAATTTGAACAAGTTTGAATGTACGCATCACCACTGTTGGACGCGACGCGTAGGTTATTGTTTTGATTACTTTAGGGAAAAAAAATTATAATGTAAAAACTTGACGTTCATAAGCGGCTAAAATGTCCTACATGAATAAATTATTTTTGAATTTGAATTTGATTATGATTGCTTAGTTTGAATTTGACTACTCACATGTGATGAAGATAGCATGTGTTCATTGTTTACCGTTTATTCATTGTGTATCAGCTCAGAAGCGAAAGCACAAAACACCGACAATTAAAGAAAAATGTGATATTTTAGACCATCTAAATCATAACGGGAGATCTCCATGTCGGATTTCCTCAGGAAAAAAAGGGGTTGTTACTAGAGATGAAACGGATATCCGGTAACTATCCGGTATCCGACCTATCCGACCGAACTGGACGGTAGGGAAAAAAAATATGTAATAACTTGACGTTCATAAGCGGCTAAAATGTCCTACATGAATAAATGATTTTTGAATTTGAATCCGAGTAAATAAAAAAATTTTTCTAAGCAATTATTTAGTTAGTATTACTTAAGGAATAAATTTAGTTTTAGTTTTAAAAGTTTTATCACTCAATAGTAAATTAATGTTATAGAAAGAAAATAAATTTATTAGTTAGATAAGTTCCGCCGGATATCCGGCCAAACTGCTATCCGTTTCATCGCTAGTTGTTACCCTGTGAAATGATGCCGAGGTAAGGGCAGCTCACCACGAAGCCGCAATATCTACCCCCCTATGAGGAAGCAGAAAACCAGTGACAGTCACATGATAACGTCATTTCTGTGGTACTGTTCATATATAGGTGATCACTTACCATCAGGCTGGCCGTCAGTTTGCCATTCCAATTTTACAAAAAAAATGATAACGTCATTTCTGTGTATATGTATATATATGTGTACACATATATGTATAGGTGACGGGACCACTTACCATCAGGCGGGCCGTCTTTTGCCATTCCAATTTTACAAAAAAAATCGATTACTTTGCACTATGTACATAAATTTAAAGATATTTATGAATATCCGCTAGCATGCTCTTTTTGGTGGGCATGGTAGGACGCCTTTGATTTGAAGCATTTCCCGCATACATTGCACTTTTTAAAAACCAAAGAGTCTTCAGGCTGAAACAATGGAAAAATATATATGTTATCTATACATATAAATAAAATTGGAGTGTCTGTTTGTAATATTGAAATAACTTATTACTACATGTATATATAAATACGGTACATACACCAACATAACTTTTTTTACAATTTTTGTCTGTCTGTTTGTTTCGGCTAATCTCTGAAATGGCTGGACCGATTTTGACGGGACTTTTATTGGCAGGTAGCGGATGTAATGAGTAACTGAGGCTACTTTTATGGCTACTGTTTCCTTTTACGACCCAATGAGCGCAGGAGTGATAGCAATATATCAATAAGTGATAGGAATGATAGCAACAGTGATAGTCTACCGTGACTCCGGATAGATGCCTGATAAGTCGTGGGATTAGAGAGTAAAAAAAAATTACCTTGTAACCGTGTGCATCCCTGAGATGTAAATGTACGCTCTTGCTGTCGTAGTACGTATCGCCGCATATGTTACAACTGAAAGTCGTCTGCGAGGACTTTGTATGGACCCTGTAATGGAGACAATCTCATATATAAAATTCTCATGTCATACTTTTCGTTCCCATACTCCTCAGAAACTTCTCATGAAATTTTGTGAGCAATACGCTAGAGTAGGTCTGAGAATCGGCCAACATCTATTTTTCATCCCCCTAAATGTTAGGGGTAGTCCACCCCTAATTTTTTATTTTATTTTAAGGCAAAACAACGTTTGCTGGGACAGCTAGTATAAATATAACAATTGACTAACACTCATCTAGTCCTAAGTCATAATTTTATATTTATAATATTTGTAATTAGTAAGGATTGAATGAGGATTAAATAATTTGAACATGGATGGATGGAAAAGGAGAGGACGCCCTAAAGAAAGGTAGATAATAGTTTTTATTTGTATCTAAGATACACACATATAGACTTAATTATAACATCACATGACAAGTACCTATAATATAACAATACAATAATAAACCTGCATGTGTATGCTACAGCAATACAAAACTGGTACATAGCTCAGTGTGGAGAATCACTCATGGAGCAAAACACAGATTTTCAGCTATGTCCTCGAGGGTTAAATAATGTATTTTTTTTTATAGACTAAAATGAACTGAACTAAATAATGTGAAATAAATAAATAATAAAGGAACTTGGAAAGTAGGAATTACAGTTAGAGTACCAGGACTTTATAAATACCAAGATACTATGATTTAATTTGATATATATGAATACTATAAGTAGGAATACAATAAATGTGTAAAAATAATAATAATTATAGTCTTGAAAGAAGTGAAAAATGTATTAGAATAGAATAGAATAGGAAATTTATTCAAATAAACTTACATTGAAGCACTTTTGAATAGTCAATACATTTTTTTAATCTACCTCTCATTCGGAAAGCTGTCTCATCACAAGAAGAACGAGGAAGAACTTGCGTGTTGCTCTTTTAAATAATTTTATTATTACTTTACATTTTTAAGTTTAAGTGTGTGAATACAAACCACCAATTAGCACTAATTCAATTAAATACTCAAATAGAAAAAATATTAAATATACAACTAACTGGTTAAACAATTAATAAGAGGAAATCAGTCATAGTATAAATGTATTTAGGGAAAGGAAAACAATTAGAATCTTACTGTGCTCTGTCACCAGAACAACTTAGTTTTTGTTGCTGTAATAGGTGTGTTTTTATATGTTTTTCAAATGTATATTGAGATGTAATATTTCTGATGGGTGGTGGAATATTGTTCCAATATTTAGTTGCGTGGTAATGAAAGCTACAGTTTTGTGACGTTGAAGCTTGTCGCTTGACCAATAGTAATATTGAAATAACTGTTTTTTACTACATTCATATAAATATACATACGGTGGTACATATACCAAAATACCATGTTTTATAATTTTTGTCTGTCTGTCTGTCAGTAAGTTTGTTGCGGCTAATCTCTGAAATGGCTGGACCGATTTTGACGGGACATTTTTTGGCAGGTAGCTGAAGTTATAAGGAGTGACTTAGGCTATTTTTATTTTAGAAAAATAAAGGTAAATTCTACGCGGACGAAGTCGCGGGAACAGCTAGTTTTGTATATAAATTTAGGATTACCACACACAACCATCTCGGGACTTTCTAATCAGACAGGATGTGCACTCCGCTCAGTGAAGCTGTAAAGGCCAGCTACGTCCAAGAGCATTAGAATGCTTCGAAAAAAAAATATCACATGACGATGTGATGACGTGATACAAACACTCCTAAATACAAATGCACCATGCGAGGAATCGAACCCGTGACCATCGAGAGTAAAGCGGTGTGCTAAACTGCTAAACCGCCGACCGTCATCAATTTATTGATGGTACCATAAATTCAATAGAATGATACTTACTGTTCATGTATTTTTAATGTATTTATCTTGTTGAACACTTTTCCACAAACTTTGCATGCAAAGGATACTTTGTGGGACATCTTTTTATGATGGGCCAGTTGGTTTTCACTCCTGAAATCAAATTAAATATTAATGTAGCAGCACACGTCTCCAGCATTTGGTTTGCAGAGATTTATTTTGATAGATGGCTTAATAAGTTTATCTAATAAAAAAGAAGTAAGAAAAAATGGATAACTTTCTGTATTTTGTAGGATAGATGGCAAGAGGCGGGTTGCCATATATCCTACAAAATACAGAAAGTTATCAATTTTTATGCGACTTCATACTCAATATAAGGACGCTACAGATGTACCTAGTAATTAATAGCTGATTTATATTTGTAGAATGTAATTGTTTGGCTGAAAGGAGATTTCCAGGGCCGTAAAATACATAATAAAAAAAAAAAAAGCAGCACACGTGAATACAGTGAATGTCTAAGACGTTAAATGTTGTTATGTATAAATGTAAGCAACCTCATTTTACTACATCTAAATATATATAACTCAAATGTGACTGACATAGTGATCTATCAACGCACAGCCCAAACCACTGGACGGATTGGGCTGAAATTTGGCATGCAGGTAGATGTCATGACTAGGCATCCATTAAGAAAGGATTTTGATTAATTCTACCCCCAAGGGAATAAAATAAGTTTATATGAAACTTCGTCGATTTTAAATCGATCTGGCTGAGACTTTGCTTGCATAGATCTACTATGACGTAGCCATCCCCTAAGAAAGGATTTTGATAAATTCTACCCCTAAAGGGGTATACCACATACCCGCACACCCTTATTAACGCGAGGAAAGCCGCGAGCAAAAGCTAGTTGTATTATATAATTTTTAAAAAAAGAACACAGAACACTCTAATTTTAAATTTGTCATTCTGAGCTATATCAATGGAGTGAAAATACAAAATCCTTTACATTAGTACAAAATATTTGTTTTATTTTCACAAGAACAAAAGGATAGTACAGTGAGTGAGACGGGAATACGAGTGCGCTCCTGCTCGTACCGAGTTCATAAATGTAAGCGAAACACACTAGAAGCTAATTGCGGAGAATAGAATCCACAAGGTTAAAAATAATTCAAGTAAAATTAGGATTTATTTACTTACTGTATACAATCTATACATCTATACAACATATAAATAAAATTGGAGTGTCTGTTTGTAATATTGAAATAACCGTTTTTTACTATATGCATTATGAATATAAATATGGTACATATACTAAAATAACATTTTTTGCAAATTTTGTAACTGACAGACAGCTGTTTGTTCCTGATAATCTTTGAAATGACCGATTTTGACAGAACTTTTTGGCAGGTAGCTGATGTAATAACTAATAACATAGGCTACTTTTATTTTAGAAAAATAAAGTTAAATACCACGCGGACGAAGTCGCGCGAACAGCTAGTTGTAAATGTAAGCGAAGCGATCGGATTGCGACGGCAAGCCTCGGCTCCATACGACGGCCTGAGCCGACTGTAATCTCTTTTGTATGCTAATAAATAAAAATATCAATTGGAGTTCACTTACGTAAATTTTTTGTCGCACTTGTTGCAGGCATACCTACTAACTTGATTCTTGTTTTTCTTCCGAGTAGTACTTTCTAGAAATGTTTCCAGCATCGTATCTATTAATTTGTGTGTTGTTTCATCGTCAATATCGAAATTGTCAGGAAAATCATGCATTAATTCTGCATTTGTATATTCATCATTATCTCTTAGTTGATTCTTAGCTTTGTGAATATTATCAGATTTCTCTTTGTGTATCGAGGTATTCTGTGCTTCAGGTTTGCCTTCAGAATCTTCAGCATATTCATAAAAATCATATGTGTCCACGTTATTATTATCCTTCTCTAATTTAACCATAACTTTTGCAAGATCTTCATTGTCTTCATCTTCAAAATCACTAAATTCAGTCTTAGTTTCTGATTTCACATTTGATTTAGAATCTGTATTATTTACATCCTTTATCACGATCTTACTGGATTCATCTTCTATGTAATCCTTTTTTTTATTATCTACCTTAACTTCCCATTTCAAAGTTGATAATCCTTCGATTACATTCTAAAATAAAATGTTAAGCTATTTAATTCTCACTTTTATATGCATTGTTAACAATGGGCTCAGTGCTCACTCAATTAGACAAAACAAGGGCTAAGTGGTCTAGCGAATTAGCACACTAAGGTAGTGTGCTAATTTGCTAGACCACTGAGCCCTGAGCTTCTAATGATCGCGGGTTCGATTCAGAATATGTGTGCTGTTATAAAATCAATATCCATAAAATATGCTTCTCATTATTTTACAGTTTCTAATATTGCAAATATTCTAAAATTAACTGTTGTTACTCTCATTACACATTTAATAATTAGGTTAGGTTAGGTAGTTAGGAGCATGAAACTAATAGTGAGGTAGTTCTAGAGAAGAGGTACAAAACAAAAAAAAATCCTTATAGCTGTTGTTGCAATTTCATATGTTTAATTGAGGCCTTTTGTAACTGTAGGTAAATTCCCCTACAAGTAAATGGTGAGACTACTAATACATTTATTAATTTATTGACTAAATTGTCCTGGGTAAATAGTAACTAGCTACTCGCCCCGGCTTTGCACGGGTGTTCAAGTATTATATATATAAACCTTCCCCTTGAATCACTTTATCTATTAAAAAAAAAACTGCTTCAAAATCCATTACGTAGCTTTAAAGATTTAAGCATACATAGGGATGGACAGACAGATACTTTGTTTTATACTATGTAGTGATTCACAGATTTATTTTATATTATTTAGTCTAATTAAACTACAATATAAGTGTATACTGGGACTGGGAAGAAGCAGATGATGATGAAGATGAAAAGTTTAAACTCACCACTTTTCCACTCAATACATTTTGCATTATTGTCTGCGCCTGCAAAGCTCTCTGCTGGAAGTTCACAAATTTGACAATTATAGCTTTGCATTCCCAGCATACTTTGTCCTCTGCCAGATCAAACTGTAAGAAAATTTCATATTTCGTTTATTAACCAATGTAAAAAAACTTCTTTACTTTTATGGCAAATCATGACATACAGTAATTAATCCTTAATAATACTATTACTGTGAAAGTAGGGATGTTTGTTATATTTCATGCAAAAACTACTGAACCAATCATCATAAAATTTTGTACACATCTTCTTGGATTATATTATTGTGGATAAACCAGGAAAAAATATATATATATATAAATAAAAAGAGTTAAATTATTTTTCCCAATTTTTACAACCATTCAATTAATCAATCAAAATATCTTTATTCATGTAGGTCTATCATGGTCTCCTATGACTCAAATCTACCTTCAATTTGGAGTGCTTTAGATCTGAGAAGAACTGTGTTGTGGGTTCATTTTTTGATGTTGTTGGTCGAGACGATGTGTATTACAGATGATAATCGACTGACAATATGTACATAAAAATATTGATCTTATATACTAAATGATAATAGGAAAATGTGAGGTGGGGTAACACAGTTTTAGACATGGCAGTGCTTAGTAGACAATATTGGAATTGTCTTACTAGACATTATTAAGTGCAATTATTATTTCTATGTAACTGTATCCCATAAACTGAAAAGAAACTCATCCCATATTCTCTTCAAATGAGCTTGTACATGTACAGAAATACAAGTTCATGTTTAGGTTTAAATTTGGAAGAACAGAGTGTCCACCAGGTATGCTATAGCAATTTTGTCAAAGGAAATAGTGTAACCTGTGTCTGTAACTTGAACAGACCAGTTCCCACAAGTAGCATCCGTTCATGAGTATGAGGAATGAGCATCATCATTGTACTCAACCATATTACAGGGGGGGGAAGGGGATTGTTAGTAATGTGGATTGATAACCCCGTTGCTAGCAATGTACCTTGTCAGGTCGACCTCCACGTGGTTCCCCCTGGAAACCATCGTGTTTAATTCCTGGTGAATTAGTCACGATGGGCTAACTGACCTGACCTCATGCTCATCTTATCATCCTCCACTGGTGCCCCGCCAGCGTAAACCGTTAGCGCAGGCGGGTGCACCATTCCATTATCATCCACAAAAAAAAAAACCATATTAGAGGGAGCACTTTGACCCGGTTCATCACGTCGCCACAAATTTTGAAGTTTATAGCAAGTATGACTGTTTTAATTTACTAAACTATGTCATCTATATCATAGGCGGAAACAATCACAGTTTTTACCTATATATATAAATAAAAATACAAATCTCATTTTAAAGAAATAACATTTAGGTTGCCTATGACATTGGCCTGAGGCAACCTAAATGTTATTTTTGTTTAATATGTCAATTTAGCATAAAAATATATTGGCGATACATCTTGTTTTATAAAATATTGAATGGAAATTTAAAAAAATATTTACCTGAAATTCTGGAAGCAGCGCTGCTTCTAAATCTGAATCAAGATAAAAAACATTGCGGTCACTACTTAGGCAAGTTACACAAACGATGCTTTTTAAATATAATTTCATTTCCTCCATTGCGAATAAATATGGAAATTTTAAGTTTTAAAAGGACAACACGTGTTAAATCGTAGATTTAAATTTATATGTATACAACGGAAGGAAGAAACATTAACATTAATCGTTGACGCGGTTAGTGATGAGGATATTCAACGTTCGATGTTTAATAGTAAATATCGATATTAAGTCCTCGATATCGATACCATCGAAAAATGAAGTAGAACCTAAAAAGTGGAAGTCAGTAATAAAGAAACACTTGTGGGGTAAAAAACAATTCTATTTATTAGCAAATCAAAATTAATAGGAACACTCATAAGCTAAGGGGAATCGATGTTACATCGATGTTTTTCTAATTACGCATTCCTAGATGCAAATTTTTTTTCCGCGTTAATTGGCTTTGGATGTTATATTCAGGATTAGTTGAAATTGCTAAAACCAGTGCAGAATGAAAGGTCAACTTTTTCCATAGAATACATATATATAATGTATCGTTCATCAATCCTTTAGGGAAAAGCGATTGACTTTTTTCCGGGCATGTGTGAAACCATTATTTTTGCCATGGCGAGCAGCGCTGACTTAATTTCATTCTTATTATTAATGAAACGCTGTTGTAGCGTGTAAAAACCAAAGCACTTAACCAAAAAAGACAAACCACATAAAAAAAGACATAAAATTTGACAATATTACTCTGTATGTATGGCATTGACGTATGACGACTGTCACTGTGTGACAATCTTTTTTATCTGTACTCTTGAAACACATTGTCGTCCGTCGTCTTTTGTTCGCTTTTTTATTTTATAATTATACGAATTTTCATGCTATACAAGGCGTTGAATATTACGAAATAAATCATATTTCGTTATATCATGTATAAAATGTGGGTATTTGTACCGTATACAACACTTCTGCATTTAATGCATTTTGTTTCATCGCCATTGACGAACACAGGTAACAGTTATAGCTTGTTCGACGCAGATTGAGTAGGAATTTGTTGTATAAAATACGCATATGTTGTTAGCTCAGCTATATGTAGTTTAGGTCGTTATCACTTTTTGATATTTGTTGTGAACATTCATTCTGAAGGTAGTATTTCTTATGAAATACAAGTTTTCTTTTCCTCTACAGTAATGTATGATACTGGATTATATAATTTTAATAATAATGGTTAAAAACGGTTTTGTTATATTAATGGACGTACTTTTTTCTTTTCTTCCATTATTTTTTTAAAAATGGAACAGGCAATGGTCTTTTGACCGTACAGTCTAGTATTTTTGTAGTTCTGGTCTGAGGTAATTAGCCATAAATATGAGACTTGTAAAATTTTGTTACTTGTCCATATTCTTATATTTGTTCTAACAATGTAGAAGTTGTTGTAAAAGAGGTGTAAGGGTAACAATATATGACTTAGGGTTTGACTGTACATTACACTGTGTACATGTATTGAATACTTTAATTTTCATTTGGCATAAATGATAGATTCAAATTTACATGACCAAAATGAAGTGTAAGTATTTTGTAGATTTTCTGGCTTCTATGAATTATAGTTTGAATGAATTCATATTTTTGTTAAAAGGATGTCTGTAATAGTCGGTAATTTTTTTTATTATATTCATTTAGGAAAGGCAAAGGGACTAAGCACATACAGATGTTGGCTTTTGTGATAATTTTCATACTTCTTTGATTTCCTTGTCATAACAAAGATTTTTAAAAATTGTTTACTGTTATGATAAAGGCAAAGGCAGTCTGTCTGTCATATATATTTAATTTTTTAAGAAATTCCCAAAAAGTCTTTAGAAATAGTGTTGAAAAAATATAATATTGAAAATTTTACAAGATTGTTGAAAATGATAGGCAATGTTCGAATTTGAATTCTTGTAAATGATATGATGAGGGTTAAACAAAAAAAAAAAATTAAACAATCTATAATAAATGACTAACAATTATATTTTGTGAAATCACGGTTCAGTAATGTTGAAGTTATTAGAGCAGAATGTCCTGTGGCCAAAGGAATTGAATTTATTAGAAGGATTTACTCAAACATCAAGCAGTCAAGTCTTTTTTTTTGGTTCTGTTTTTCCCTTCAGGGAAAGGCAGAAGGATTTAGCCCATACAGCCATTGTCCTCAGTAGAGACAAGTCCAAGTACAAGAAGTAAGTTTATGGCATTGAAGTGGTTCTAAAATATTTTTCTGGTTTTAAATTGTACTTTGAGGGTCTTTAAAATATTGAATACCTCCTTATCTACTAATAAAGTCCAATGAAATGAATATGCTTGGTAACTTCCCAATTTCGCAATTTATTCCCAATTTACGAGTTTTAGAATAAGGTAGGATGGGGCACAAAGGTCTAATTTGACTATTAATTATTTTACTGCAACCCCATAATAGGAGTAAAAACGCAGCCAGGGGGAACAAGGTCCAATATATTATTTTATAAAGGTTTTATGAAGTAATAACTACATTCTCTAATCAATGCAATGCAGTTTAAATAATAGGTAACCTATCTCAGTTGAACAACACAAACAGTAGGGAATATTAAACTTAAATCCATTAGTAGTTAATCTATCAGTTAAGTAGTCTGGATTGCATCTTTGGTTCTGGCGAAAATTAAGAATGATGGGAGAAATGAACTCCCATTATCTAAGTATGTATTATCTATCTATTTAGAAAAATCAATAACTAGTAATACTCGAGAATAATATACTTACAATGAGGCCTCATTTTCATACCCCCAAAGGAGAAGAGTCGCTCCACAGGGCTGGGCAAATAAGTGTTATATTTTAGGAATATTTTTTTAATTGTAGGATAAGCATTCAAACTCGTAAGTTTTTATCTTTATTGTTGAGATACTGGAGTGTCTTAAATCACTGGTGCTGCTTGTGATTTCGCCACTAGAAATAGAGGAATCGGAGTCCTCTAGAAACATATAAGTCATAAGAATCACATCAACTGATCTTGTTTCAGACAGGACATGTTCTTTTACATATTCCTTTCGCGCTTTTGGGTACATTCCTTTCGCACATTTGGGAACCAAAAAAGAAAACTGTGAAGTTCATTTTAGTAAAAGTATCTTAGGGAACAAAGTACAGGCAGTCCTCGTACTTACGGCATGTTAGGTTCTCGAAATACGCGACGTAAATCGAAACGACGTAAGTCGAGACATATTTTTTCATATGTTTACATGTAAAACTCAAGGGTTAGGTTCCACACGGACTCGAAATAATAAAAAAAACTGCATTTATAACAAAGGACGTACTTTATTATTAAAAGTAAGTTCTTAAAATAATTATATATTATGCACTTATGAAATTGCTAGTTATTTTTGGTATTTGTGTGTTATTAATTTTAATAATAATTATAAAACTTATACATATGTAATGATAAATAATAAATTAAACTTTTGGCTTAAAGAAACTATCAATTCTAGATTGCTTGGCTTCTTTCTTCTTGCTATCATACAGATCTTGGTAACAGTGATAGGCTGCACAAATTTTGTTATTAACGTTAAAACTTCTCTCAAAATTAGGATCATTTTCTTCAAAAATTTTCATGGCATTCTTCAAATTTGCAAAGGCTACGGAAAGTTTTTTTAGTGTAAGTTATTTTCAGAGTCACTAATAGAAGAAGCTATTTCTTGTGACTCGAGTGCTTCCTTTTGTACTTGTGCCTCCAATTCAATAAGATCTTCATCAGTCAGTTCTTGCGAATGTGAGCTTAACAGATCATCAATATCATCAGTAGTAACTGCAATGTCAGGCAAACGGTTAGCCAAATGAACAATGTCAGTTGTGATCTCATCGACATTTGGTTGATCTGTAGATGTAGAACTTTCAGATGGCTCAAAAAAAAATGGAGCATAACTTTTTCCACACTCCTTTTAAATTGTTGGGTGTCACCTCATCCCATGAAGTAGCAATATTTTTTACGCATTGCAGGATATTATAACTTTTCCAAAAATCTCTCAGCTCCATGCCATCATTTTCATTAGCCTTTACAGCCTGTGAAAAAGTTCTCCTGAGATAATAGGCCTTAAAAGACGCGATAACTCCTTGATCCATCGGCTGTAACAACGAAGTGGTGTTGGGAGGCAGGAACACGACTTTGATTTGAGGATCAATATCGGCAATACGCACAGGATGGCCGGGAGCATTGTCCAAAATAAGTAAAGCTTTATAAGCCAAATTATTGTTTGAACAGTACTGTTTCACTTCAGGTATAAAATGCTTAGTAAACCATTCTTCAAAAGTATTGATGTAACCCATGCCTTTGGATTAGCCTTCCATATAACTGGAAAGTACTCTTGACGTAATTTTTGAGGCTCGAGGATTTTCAGACCTATAAACTAAAAGGGGTTTCAATTTAAGATCACCTTCAACATTCGAACCCAATAACAACGTCAAACGATCTTTAGCCGCTAGAAATCCAGGCATAGACTTTTCTTCCTGTGATATAAAAGTACGAGAGGGCATTTTTTCCAAAACAAACCAGTTTCGTCCACGTTAAAAATTTGTTTAGGCGAATAGTCTCCACTTTCGATAATTTCTCTTTAATATTCCAGGAAAACTCTGAGCAGCCACACCATCGGCACTAGCAGCTTCTCCTTGCACTCGAATGTTATGTAACGAATATCTCGTTTTAAAGCGCATGAACCATCCGCGACTGGCAGTAAAACATTTTGTTTCGTCACTATTATTCTCGCCACGTTTATTTTGCAGTGTGTTGATGATACTCAGCGCCTTATTTTGTATAATAGCCAAACTTAGAGAACCCGTCGCTGAGTTTGATCTTGAATCCAATTGTACACCAGTTTTTCCATTTCATAAATTAAAGCATTTCTTTTGCGTATAATAGTGCTGTTTGAAGAGACGGAAGGAAGAGCTGTTAAGAGTTTTTCTTTATCTTTCAATATTGTTTGTACCGTCGTGCGTGATAAATTAAGTTCTCATCCAATAGATGAAGTCGAATAACCGCGATCTTTGAGTTTTAAAATCTTAGATTTAACCTCCATTGTAATTGACTTTCTTACTCTCTTCTTCACTTTATTACTGTCTTGTTTAGGTGGCATTGTTTAAAATTCACTTCGTGTATGTAAACACAAAAACTGTCAAAGATGCAAAAAAAACTAATTTATTACGTCTTGAATTGTCCGTTGTCCCTGAATGTACTAAACAAAATCAGCGACATTTGCGGGAGTATTCCCCGCACGAGACGACACCACCGCGCCCCTCACGGACATTGACCTTGCGACAAGTGAATTCTCCGATATGCCGGAAATCGAAACAAATGACGTATGCTTGAGGAATAGTGTCAAAACATTGTTTGACGTAACTTGAAACGACGTAAATCGAAACGACGTAAGTCGAGGACCGCCTGTATCTTCAAAGTACTAAGATACCAGGAAAATTTTTCTAAATATAACAAAATAAAAAGCATTCAAGTACAATATGTAAATAGGTATTTTGTAACTTGTATCTGTATTTCAAACTTTATCTAAGATAATTCATATCACTGATAACTAACTGGAAGAGGTCTTAAAGAATAAAATGCATGATGTTATTTACCACGAGACAACTGGATGCAAAACTATTGAATTTTGTCAGCAATAATTCCCTTAGTGGAATTAATTTTTTTTTATTTGAGATTTTAAGTATATTCTAGAGCTTTTAATTGTTCATAAACATTAACTGAGATGTGAGAGTGAGAATGAAACTGAAATGATTGTAATTTCTTAAATCTTTTCTTTCTTCATACTTAGAACTTCGTTCACTTTCTTTAGTGGTTGGAATTTTTCCACATACTGCCGTGATGCCTCTGACCTCTGCAAAAATTTCATGACATAACAACTTTAATCTTTCTTCATCTTCTGTCATCAATTTTGCTTTTAATATATTTGATGGTGACAGGACTATCTACTATAGGATCCCTGGTCGTATGGTCGCCGGTGTGGAGCGCCCGGGCGCGCGCAGACACCCGGTTGAATGCTCGATATTGAGTGTTTGAGGTCGTCGTCTTCGCCGGCGAGGACGGTGTCGTGTGTGTGTGTGTAAAAGTGTGGTTGGGGTGAAACGGGTGGGCCCGTGGGGAGGTTACCTGCCGTTATGGGGTCGTCGGGGTCAATGAGAACGTGCCTCGGGCGACGTTGTCGCGTATGTCGGATATTACTCCTCGGTGCGTAGTCGACCGTACTGTCTATAAGCGGGTTAAGGTGGGATTGGGCAGAGTCGAAGTAGCGTCGAGACGCTTCCTTCATGAACTGCTTGATGGAGGGCAGATTAAGGTCGCGGTGGAGATCTACGCTACGAACGAACCAGAGGCTCGACGCAGAAACCTATTTTGTATAATTTGTAGTCGGTTGATTAAACAGTGGTTGATATTGGGCGAATACGGGACTAGCGTAAGTCATGATGGGACGGATGCAAGCCTTGCAAAATGTCAGCGACATTTTACTGTACTTGTTAATAAAAGGATAGAGTCGCCCTAGTATAAAGGCGGCTCGGTCGCGGACACGCTTGATGTGAGGACGGAACGTTAGTTTCCTATCTAGGGTGACGCCGAGATATTTTGTTTTCGAAACCCACGGGATGTTTTGGCCGAATAGTTCGATCGGGTGATTCATAGAGTCGAATTCCCTGCTAAAGTACACTGCTGCACTTTTTTCGGGATTGACTTCTATGCGCCACCGACGGAACCATTCGCCCAGTATCGTTACGGCTTTCTGAAGCCGTCTGGCTATTGTCGCACGGAACCAGCGGCGGATGTAAAGAGAGCCGTGTCATCGGCAAACAGCGATATTTCGACTTTTTTAAATAGGAGGAATTTAGGGATGTCGTTGGTGTACAACAGTAGAGCATCGGAGAGAGGACGGCACCTAGAGGACGCCGGCTCGTATGGGGTGCGGGTCGGATAACGCTCCGTTTATACGGTAGCGATAAGAGCGATTCGACAGGAAATCTCGTACAATGAGTACTAGCCTGTCGGGGACACCTAAATGATCAAGCTTGTAAATCAAGCCGTTGTGCCAGACTTTATCGAAAGCCTTAGCCACATCAAAAAATAGAACACCTGTACCTCCTTTGGGGGACTTGGTGGCGAAGTACAGGGTGTTTTTGTGAATGTGCTCCGTGATGCGGTGCACTTGATGGACGCACGAGTGTTTCGCTCAGAAGCCAAACTGCTCATTGATGAGCAGGCCTTTGGAGTATATAAACTCCTTTAGGCGGGCGAGGAGAAGTCGCTCGTACAGCTTGCCTATAGCCTTGAGGAGGCTGATAGGACGATAACTGGTCGGGTCGGATTTATTTTTACCGGGCTTGGGGATGCCAATGACCACGTCTTCTTTCCAGCTGTCTGGAAATTTGGCGTTGGACAGCGCCGCGTTAAAAATAGCGACGAGTAATACTAAAAGTTGGGATGGTAGACTTTTGACTAACCCTGTGGATGCCGTCACAGACGGGTGATTTTTTGATGAGTGGATTTGTTTAACGCGTTTTGACCTCGCATCAAGCGTGGCTGGTGAGAGATTCGGTGTAGGCAGGGTGGATGCGATGCGTTCGACTTCGGTGTCTATCTTCCTCGAGATGACCTGCCTCGACTGGGAGCACGTGCTGGGGGAGCATTGGGCTTCTAGTTGGACGCTAGATTTTCTTAACATCTTCGTCGAAGAAGGCTATAGTGTTGTCGGGTCGGACTAGCGGGGGCATGTCGTTTGTCTGTTGGTCGGTTTTGAGAGATTTAGCTATTCGCCAGTACGCGGTGTGGCATGGCGTTATCTCTTATAGGAGCTTGCCCCACCCGCCGTCCCGGATCTGCGCGATCTTCTGCGCTAACAGCCAAGGCTGCAAGGCGCACCCAGTTCAGTTCGGAGTGGTAGCGATCGTACGCTCTAGTGGCTGCGTTCTTATCGCTTATTAACCTCCTTACGTCATCAGGGCTTGCAGCGAAGGTCGTCCGTCGCCGGTAACTCCCTGGAGCAGTCCTTGACTGCCGACTGCCCAGGTGGACGGCGGCGCGAGTCGATCGCAATGAGTGTCCTCGGTGGACTCTATGACGTCGGGGGTGGTTTGAGTACCGGTGTGTTGATGGATTCGAGAGATTTCTCGAGTCGTTGCCAGTCTGTTATTGTTTTGGTTGGTAGCGGCGTGTCGGGCGGAGGGCCCAGAAGGAGGGTTACCGGTCGATGGTCCGAGTTAAGCTCGGCATGGACTTCTGGGGAGCTCACCCGTAGGGTTACGTTCCTCAGCAGTGCCATGTCCAGTATGTCGGGTCGGTGCGGTCCGCTGCGCGGCCGCGCTCTTTATATAGACGCCCGAGGGGTGGCCTTCCCTTTTTTTTTTTTTTTAACGAGGGGAAAGGTTTCAATACCGAAACGTCCGCCTTTATGAAGGGGAGCGGACGAATACTGTGGGACTGGACGAATCCGATCCACCAAAACCCCTCGGTGTTCCTCGGCTCCCTGAAAGACGCCTTCGTGCGGGTTCGCATTTGCATTCAACCGCACTCCGGCCGCGGGTCTCCAGTGAAGGAGCCGCCGAAGTTGGGCGCGGGGACCACTCCACGCCCACACTCCACGGATCACTCGCCTCCTGGGAACTTCGGATGGGGGGTGGCCTTCCCTACTGCAACTGTACGTTGCGTGTGATTTATTTACACATAATTATTATTAACAAAAAATGATCTTATCTATACTTATATACAAATTCTGCTTATGCTAATTACTTATATTTAGGGCAATAAAAACACTATGTTATATATTTTATTGAGGATTACTTATTATACTAATTACAGTAAATAAATTTGCTTACCATCAATGATTCCGTTAAGTAACTGAGTTGACATGCAATACCTAGGTTAAAAACTTTCTGAAAATATTCTTCCAGTCTTTCGTTTCATTAAGTCTTTTTGTTTTAAGTTGAGGAATTCATTTCTTCGCATCACTAAGTTCGTCTTAGGAGCAAAATAAACTGATGAATGATTCTCGTGAGAACTGTATTCAATCTGGATTTACAAAAAAATTGAAAGTATTGTAGATTTGTATTGACTTGTTTCTTCGATAAAAATTAACAATAAAACTTTTCTATTTTGTATTTGGTCTTGTTGCTCACAACAGAGAAAACTCTGTCAAGCATTTGGTAGTACCATTCGGGCGTTACAACTTCTTTGGTTTCGTAAAGGAATTGACACCAAGTAGCCAGTCAAATTTAAAGCTCGCGATCAAAATTTCCCAACGCATGGTCAGCTTGCTGCCCAGACGTTAAACCCAGAC